AGACTTGCTTGAGCCCAGGAGTTGGAGGTTGCTGTGAGCAGTGATGCCATGGCACTCTACCCAGGGGGACAGCTTGAGGCTCCTGTCTCAAAAAAAAAAAAAAAGAAGTTTAACTCTAGGTTCTAGTGTTCCAAGAGATTAAAAATGCTGGAAAACACTGCTCTAGAGTCTGACTTTCACTGCCTCTTTATGTGTGGGGGATTGAATGTGGCAACCTCAGCCTCTTCTCATACCATTTCCTGAGGCGACATCCTAAAAGAATATAACCAGGACCTCTTTGGTTCAAGTCTCAGATTCTCAGTTGGCCAACTTGGGCCAGGGGACCCTAAACCCTGGGTTTAGCATCAAGGCCTCAATTATGTGGGGTGTGAGTAACTTGGGTGGCGGCAGCTCCCTGGTGTCCTACCTGCCATAAATACCTACCTCCATAAAGACCCTTTCAGAATAAAAAGGACAGGGTATCTTGACCAGCCTGTGGGAAGGGGGAATGGGGGGGCCTGCAGAAACTTTGGCTGGAGGTGGAACCACCTGGAAAACATCCACAGGACCGCCTGGGCTACCTGTGTTCTGTGTCCATCAGGGCTATTCACTGAGCTTGGCCTGTGGCTCTTTGACCATGGGCTGGGCATCCTTTCTGGAGCTGCAGGTGCCTGCCCCTCAGCCCTGTTTCTTCCCAGTCTGCCCTTACCCTCTTATGCGCCTTTATTATTTTGGATGGCGTGACAGAGGCACTGTCACAGGTGTAGCAGAGGCTGTAGGAACCTAGGATACGAAGAGTGACCTTTTACTTTTCTACCTTGGCATTGTATCCTGTTGTTTTTAATGTATTTCATACCATTTGGGGGAGGCAGTGCCAGGAAGATCAGAGGAATTCTGAACGGCTTTTTCCTGCCATGAGCCTAACCCTGGGACAATATTTCCAAGATGGAAGAAGAAGACAGGCTGGGCAGACCTGGCAGACCTTGAGCCTGAACACCTAGCCACCAGGGCTGTGGTTCACATCAATTGTCATGTCCTGTAGCGCTTAGAAGGACCATAGGCCACTGCAGATGTGAGGAACTATGGTGTAAATTGGGCTTGTCTCCTCTCCTAGACCAGGGAGGGACTTCCTGTAGGGTCTCAAATAAGATCTGTACCCTCTGTGCTAACCACTGTGATGCTGGCTTCTCTAGGTCCCTGCCGTGGTTACCCTGGGTATCTGTTCCTCCCACACACGCCAGTCCCACCCACGACCACTGTCCTCTCAGTTTGTCTGCAACTTCAGTGACTGTCTCTTCTTGGCTGCAGTTATCTTGTGCTGTTTCTGTGTGCAGTTCTTTCTCCATTAGGTCACAGCATGTCAAAAGTCACAGCATTGAGAGGACAGTTTGTTCTCCCTCCCCCTTGCCTCCTCTCCCCCTCCTTCCCCACTCCACCCCCTCTTGCTCTCTGGGGCTCTATGTGACATCTTCTAGACCCAAGAATGAATGGCAGGCACAGGCTTTGAGGTCAAGGGCCCCAGGTGGCTTAGGTGGTAGTCTGGTCTCCAGCATCCTCTCTGAAGTGTGGAATGCACCTACCTATGGTATGGAGTTGCCTGGTCTCGGGTCCTCACGCCTAGGACTACTTTGAAGCCATAATATCTTAAAAACATAATTCAAAATCTGTAAGTCTGGAATCAAAGTTCTTTTTTTCTGTCTTTCTCTTTATTGTAATAGAACACTCAATATTAAACTCACCATCTTAACCATCTTTCAATGTACTGTGGTTAAGTGGCAATAAATACATCCAATAGTGCTGTACAACCATCTCTGCCCAGCTCCAGAACTCTTAAAGCTCTGCACCCATTACAAACATCAACTCGACATTGCCCCCTCCTCCTAGCTAGCCCCTGGCAGCCACCACTTTACCTTCTGTCTCTATGATTTTGACTTCTCTAGGTACCTCATGTAACTAGAATCATGCAGAATTCGTCTTTTTGGGACTGACTTATTTTACTCAGAATAATGTCCTCAAGGTTCATCCACGTCTCAGCTCATATTAGAATTTCTTTCCTTTTTAAGGATGAATAACAGGGCTCGGCGCCTGTGGCTCAAGCAGCTAAGGCGCCAGCCACATACACCTAAGGTGGTGGGTTCGAATCCCCAGCCCGGGCCCGCCAAACAACAATGATGGCTACAACCAAAAAATGGCCAGGCGTTGTGGCAGGCGCCTGTAGTCCCAGCTACTTGGGAGGCTGAGGCAGGAGACTCGCTTGAGCCCAGGAGTTGGAGGTTGCTGTGAGCGTGATGGGCACTCTACCCAGGGGGATAGCTTGAGGCTCTGTCTCAAAAAAAAAAAGGATGAATACCAGTCCAGTATATGTATTATATGCACATATACATCTTAAAAAGGAAAAAGTATTATAATTGTAATATTCAATATATACCACTAACAAAAGATAAATACCAGTCATATTCAAGCACCTCTTATAATGGCAGAAGTCAAACATGTCTTGCATATTACAATTTTAATATATTTTTTTCCTTCTTAAAATGTGTATTTTTTTGGCACCCTCTCTATATACCCCATTTTGCTTGTCTATTCATCTGTCTATGCTATGGTGGCTCATGCCTGCAGCCTGAGGCATGAGGATCAGTCAATAAATAGGTCACAGCATGTCAAAGTCACAGCACTGAGGAGACAGTTATGTTGCTTCTGTGTCTCAGCTATTACAAGAAACAATGCTGTGAACTTGTGTGGACAAGACCTTGTTTTCAGTCCTTTTGGGCAAATACACAGAAGTGGAGCTGCTAGATCGTATGGCAATTTTTAATTTTTAGAAGAACCACCATACTGATTTGCACAGTGGCTGTACTATT